CTGTTTGTGTGTATGTGTGTGTGTGTTAAGTGTAATACAGTAGAATTTACCAATACAATCTCTTTCCTAATTGTTCTTTGTATTCTAGACAAAGCATTACGGTCTGTTGTGTTTGTAAAAATGTAGTGTGTTTGTTATTAGAGCTATACTTGATTGATATAAATTTCTTTAACTTATGGTGCCATTCCAGTAGTTTGAGATTAATTCTGTCGGTATTTCATAGTTGTGGATTTCAGACTGTACGATAGACATAGATAATGAAGATACCTTTTTGAAGTGGCGCCTAGTTGGTCACGTTCTTAGTACACTTGATTCCATAGGGAGACGCAGTCGCCAGCTGGAGGTGACAGGTTCGATTCCCCGCATAGTAACTATAGATGCCGATTTTTATGTTGTCTTGTGTGTCCTTCTACTTCTTTCTGTGAGTGCCAGTAAATATATTGTCTTTGTGTGTGTGTGTGTGTGTGTGTATATATATATATATATTTATATATATATATATATATATATATATATATATATATATATATATATATATATATATATATATATATATATATATATATATATATATATATATATATATATATATATATATACATACATACTCACACTAACATGATTCAGCATACAACATAATGCATGATCAACTGAAATTTAGGAAAGTGTGCTTAAGGTGGGTACCCAGACAATTGACCGACCAAGACAAAATGATCTGATTAGGCCTATCCTTGCAGTACGTCTGTCAATACGCAGGAGAAGAAATGCTGAACAGGATTATTACTGGGGTAAATCACGGGTACATCACTACCAGCCCAAATCAAAGCCTGCTTCAGTGCAATGTAAACATCCTTTTTCGCCTTGTGTTCAAAAATTCAAGGGAAGGTTGCGCTGACAGTGTGTTGGGATTGTCAAGGAGTGATTTTAACCAGATTAAAAATAATGAGGTGACAATCTGAATGCTGATTCATACTGTAAAGTTCTATATATAATTCATGATGCAGTTCGAAGAAAACGTCCAGGCTTGCTGACTAGAGGAGTGCTGCTCCTTCATAACAACCCAGACCACATAAGGCTTGGTTAACTCAGGAGAAAATTAACCATCGAGGGTGGGAACTTCTGGAACATCCACCGTACAGCCCCGTCTTAGTCTCTAGCGATTCCACCTTTTTGATCCACTGAAAAACCAGCCGTGGCTGGAGACATTTGACGAATGACGCAAAAGTTTATTGTGAAGAAGGAGAAGAGGAGGATTGTAAAGTGAAAATGGCGTTTAGAAAATAGAGCTTGCAGTTCTATGCAGCAGGTCTGGGAGGACTGATAAAATAATGGGACAAGTGCATCAGTGTTGGTGAAAATTATGTCGAAAAACAAATGGACAATGTGTGTGTAAAAATAAACGGTTTTCAAGTTGTTATGGTCTTTAGTTTTATTTTAAAACAAATATTTGTATCTTACTTATTGACTTGGTGAGGCAAAAATTAAACAATTCCGATATCGATTTTGGAAGTTGACGGGTTATTTAAAAAAAGGGGAGGGAGATGAATTAGGGGGAGGAGGGGGGAGAGAAAGGTTGTGGGGGCGGAGATAAAAAAAATGGAGTCTCGCCCTAAGAGAATTTGGGGTTCTCTCACTTAACATTCCTAAAGACAACAGCGGGTGATGAGTCTGTGAAGAATTCCAGTAGGGTAGCACTGAAAGATGTAACATTCGGAATCTGGTAAAGCAAAGTGCAATGCATTACTTTACAGATTAAAATTAGAGTTGTACTGAATATTCGCTTGGTATTCGCTTTGGGGCCGAATAGTGGACCTAAAAACGATTCGGTATTCGGCCGAATACTGCGGCAGGGACCAATATGAATAGTGGTTACAAGAAGGCTCTTACGCCGACAGCAAGCCAACGGGTTCTAGTAACAGGAACTGTTGCAATTCTGCAGCGGTTTAAACAATTGACACGTGAAATAAGAGGCAACAATTCATGTTTGTTCAGTGATCCTACCATCTGTTTCGAGGTATCTTGTTGTTTGTTCAGTGATCCTACCGGCTGATCAGGCTATCTTGTTGTATGTTCAGTGATTCTACCAGCTGTTCAGGCTATCTTGTTGTATGTTCAGTGATCCTACCGGCTGTTTAGGCTATCTTGTTGTCTGTTCAGTGATCCTACCAGCTGTTCAGGCTCTCTTGTTGTGTGTTCAATGATCCTACCAGCTGTTCAGGCTCTCTTGTTGTATGTTCAGTGATCCTGCTAGCTGTTCAGGCTAACTTCTTGTATGTTCAGTGATCCTACCAGCTGTTCAGGCTCTCTTGTTGTATGTTCAATGATCCTACCAGCTGTTCAGGCGCTCTTCTTGTATGTTCAGTGATCCTGCTAGCTGTTCAAGCTAACTTGTATGTTCATTGATCCTACCAGCTGTTCAGGCTATCGTGTTGTTTTTCAGTGATCCTACCAGCTGTTCGAGCTATCTTGTTGTATGTTCAATGATCCTACCATCTGTTCAGGCTATCTTGTTTGTTCAATGATCCTACCAGTTGTTCAGGCTATCTTGTTGTATGTTTAGTGATCATACCAGCTGTTCGAGCTATCTTGTTGTATGTTCAGTGATCCTTCCAGCTGTTCGAGCTATCTTGTTGTATGTTCAGTGATCCTACCAGCTGTTCGAGCTATCTTGTTGTATGTTCAGTGATCCTATCAGCTGTTCGAGCTATCTTGTTGTATGTTCAGTGATCCTACCAGCTGTTCGAGCTATCTTGTTGTATGTTTAGTGATCATACCAGCTGTTCGAGCTATCTTGTTGTATGTTTAGTGATCATACCAGCTGTTCGAGCTATCTTGTTGTATGTTCAGTGATCCTACCAGCTGTTCGAGCTATCTTGTTGTATGTTCAGTGATCCTACCAGCTGTTCAAGCTATCTTGTTGTTTGTTCAGTGATTCTACCAGCTGTTCGAGCTATCTTGTTGTATGTTCAGTGATCTTATCAGCTGTTCGAGTTATCTTGTTGTATGTTCAGTGATCCTATCAGCTGTTCGAGCTATCTTGTTGTATGTTCAGTGATCCTATCAGCTGTTCGAGTTATCTTGTTGTATGTTCAGTGATCCTACCAGCTGTTCGAGCTATCTTGTTGTATGTTCAGTGATCCTATCAGCTGTTCGAGCTATCTTGTTGTATGTTCAGTGATCCTACCAGCTGTTCGAGCTATCTTGTTGTATGTTCAGTGATACTATCAGCTGTTCGAGCTATCTTGTTGTATGTTCAGTGATCCTACCAGCTGTTCGAGCTATCTTGTTGTATGTTCAGTGATCCTATCAGCTGTTCGAGTTATCTTGTTGTATGTTCAGTGATCCTATCAGCTGTTCGAGCTATCTTGTTGTATATTCAGTGATCCTATCAGCTGTTCGAGCTATCTTGTTGTATGTTCAGTGATCCTACCAGCTGTTCGAGCTATCTTGTTGTATGTTCAGTGATCCTACCAGCTGTTCGAGTTATCTTGTTGTTTGTTCAGTGATCCTACCAGCTGTTCGAGCTATCTTGTTGTTTGTTCAGTGATTCTACCAGCTGTTCGAGCTATCTTGTTGTATGTTCAGTGATCCTACCAGCTGTTCTTGTTGTTTGTTCAGACAGATGTGAATGATGAGGGCATCACGAAGACAGACAGCGAACTTGAAGCATCAATGACGAGGAGATTTTAGGACTTGTATGCATCTAGCTTGTATGCGGTGTCAGCTAGCTTGGATCAGCTACGTTTTCTCACCAATGTGCAGCAATTACAAGCCAAGACAGACATTGTGACTGCTACATTAAATTGCCAGTCATCGACATATACAGCCACCGTCCAAACTTCTGAAGTTTTTCCTGCAGCTGACGAAGAACTTCCAGTTAATAAAGTTAAATCTAACGACTTTTGGACCTCTTTGGGTCAGTTGCAGTCTGTTAAGGCAAAGAATAACGACATTCAAGTCACCATTGAAACAGAAGTGAATAACTACCTGTCAGAGCTGTGTATCCCAGAGACACTGACTCACTGGACTGGTTGAAAATAAACTTGCCCCTTGATTCATACTGTCAAGCGTTATCTTTGTGGACCACCTACGAGCGTGCCAGGTGAACGTCTGTTTAGTACTGCTGGAAATACCTTCAGTGAGACGAGAAAATGCCTAAATGCTGACAACATGGAACGATTGGTTTTGTTGATAGCTAATGCATTAAGTAAGCTGTCAGTGACAATTTACAAGTTTATTTAGTTACTTGTTATAATACTTTCATTCCTAGTTATTAGTTATTGTAGACTGTCTGAAGGATGCAAAACATAAAGCGTTTTTAAATGTTTACTATTCTGTACTACATTTTGTAAAGTCAAAGTTCAGCGTTCATTTGACATTATAAATGTTTGTTTTTTTATTCGTATTTGACCGAATAGGGATAAGAATCTAATCGGTACAGCTCTATTAAAAATACCCCCAGACATAATTCCCAGAAACCCTGATCAACGGTACGGTTAAATTCATAAACTGTGAGTAGGGGAGTAGTTGCAAACTCTTACTGGTGAAGTGGTCAAGCCGTTTGCCTCGCACTCTGTGGAGGTTGTGGGCTCCATTCACGGCTGCGCCCTTCAGTTCCTGAGTGCAGTTTTTACGGAGATCCCGTCAGAGCTACAGAGATCGTACTCTGTGCGGCTCTGTCAGTAATCGGTTAGTCGTTCTGTTAAGAGAGACTGAGCCATGTGGGATAAAATCCGGTGTAGTGAAGTTGATCCTCCTGACTTTAACCTTTAACCTTATTTTAAAGGTGACACATGAGGGGGAAAAATAAACAAGGAGAAGGAAAACTACATTTAACACCGGTTAACCTTTAACCTTTGAGTCACCACCGGAAGTTGACATGGAGTAAGCAACATGAGTTATCGTTCCTGAAACGGAAAACCATTTACAAGTCAACAACAACAACGTTCAGCAATTTCTCCTCTTTTCTTGCCTTTTCATCATTTTTCCTCAACCTGACCATGTCTAAATACCACCAGTCTTCAAATCCATTCGAAAGCGACGAAGATGAAGGAGATTTTACTGTCGTCGGGAAGACAGCCGGTTCAAAGACAGCGAGCAGCTCCACAAGAACAAGTGGTTCCTCTTCTACTACTTCTATCAACAGAACATCAAACATTTCGCCCTCTACCTCTGGACACAGCTACCCGCAAAGATCGCAGCAGCAGAATTATTCAGGTACCCAGTACTACGAAGACGACAGTCCGTTTGATGACAAACGACAGCAGCTGCAGATGAAGATAGCTAATTCGGAAAATACTCAGCTAGAAAGTACACAACGAGCTCTGGCCAGTATATACGAGTCAGAGGCCATGGGTGTTGCAACGGCAGAGGTATGATGCTTTTTAATTTTATTTTTAATTTTAAATTTCAGTCCTAATTTTCTCTCTTTGTTCAGGTAAAAAGTCACTAATTAAAGATTTGCTGAAATCTCATATGATGGTACAAAGGGCGCAGATATCACAGCCTAGCTGTAAACCACAGCAGTGTGCTAACCACTCTTTTGAGGACAAATGCAGAAGAAGATGTTACAACTGGCACTATATAGCATTACTGTTTGTAATCTGTACTATCTCTGTGCTCCTGTTTGTGCTATGTGCTATCTCTGAGTTACTGTTTGTAACTACGAGGAGTTACCAGGAGATCTGGCCGAGGCTCAACACTCAGGGGAAGGACGAGATGGATACACAATCAGACAGTTACTGCTGCCATCAGAATTGGAACTGTTTATATTCTATCTTTATATTTAGTCAGGTTTGCAGCTCGTTCTGTTAGCGTGTCATCTCTTTGTTGATTACTGGAGACGGAGCATGTGTGGGAATGTCCTGAGTGCAGTGATGTTAGGTCTTGACTTACTCATTCATTCCATCTTTGCGTTGCTGTTTATTTCCTTTATCATTAATTTTTTTTGTTCCTTTCTATCTTCTTGTAGCTGTTTGTAATCAATGCTCTCCAAGTCCTACTTTTTCTTTCTTTTCTTCTGTTTCCACATTTCTGTTTATATATTTACTTACTATAGAACAAGTGAAAACTGACCCCTTTCTCTCTCTCTCCCTGTCTCTAGGAGCTGCTTCGGCAAGCAGAAACCCTGAACAACATAGAAGGTAAAACAGACAGCATGCAACAGAACATGAAGACTTCCCAGCGCCATCTCAACAATATCAAAAGTGTCTTTGGAGGCATCAAAAACTGGTGGTCTGGGGGTGACAAGAAGGTCGCAGAAACTAACCAGCAAGCAGAAAGTGCTAACAGGTGTGTGTGACTTTTGGTTTCTGAAATTTGTGTGTGTGTAAAGAATGTTAACTTATGGTATGGGATTTAGAAATGTGTTGAAAATAAAATAGGTTTAATTCAAGAGGGTTGAAGAAATTAAATAAATTGGCAGCCACCAGTAACAACAGTTGTAAAACAAAGGAGGTGGCACTATATTGGAAACATCCTATTAAGAAACGAGCAGATAATTACGAGACAGGCATTAGAATAGCAAATAAAGAAAAGAGGACCCAAAAAAAAAGAAACCCTAAAATGAATGGTGATGAGAGAGGCCAAAGATACTGGACTGGATTTCATCTGTGATATGAAAAATATAGCACAGGATAGAACCGACAGGACACGTAGACTACAAGCCCTGTGTGGCATTTAATGGCACGACAAGAGGAGGTTGTTGATGACAGTTTAGGAAAACAGGTAAATAATTAGTTAAACACAAATATATATCAGTTGCAGTTATATCTTCACAATAATTGCATCACCCTATAATGACTTCTTCTCTGTGAAAACCCCACTAAATGCCTGTCAGTGTTTGTCAGATTGGACAAGTTAGACAGAGTGTAGTCCCCTAAAAACTCCAACATTTGCACACATTAAAGGCATAAGGTAGCTGCCAGAGATGCCACCACCAACAGTCTGCCCCTAAAATTGCAGTTCGTAATTGATGTAAGCAGCATTCACCACAACTAGCAGGTGTACACACATTACTGCATAAGGCATACCGCCAAATCTATGGTAACTAACCACTTCCCATTTGCTAAATATACAATGGTGAATATTTTTTTCTATTTCACAATCTTTGTTCTGGAACGCCAAGTTGAACAGACCAGCTGCACCTCGACCCTTTTGCCCCAGTGACCTAGACAAAAAAAATGCCAAAGACTTGTATTTTTGGGAATTTTGGGGTTGTCCAGGAAAAAAAAAATCGTATTATTTCCATTTGTGGGCCAAAACAAAATTGTATTGCATACACAATAACGGGAGTGATTCGTAAATATGAATAGGGTAAATATGAATAGGGCGGAGAATTTACTGGGTTACATCTCTCTGAGCTTTGAAAACATGTTTAGTGTGACCTTTTCTTGACCCCGTGGCCTGGCTGCCATTATCACTGTAAATCAGGGGAAATTCTGAATGCCTCATTTCTGTAAATAAAGGCATTTTAACACAGGAAACTCCATATTAATGCTATTTTTAGCAGCTGTGTTTAAAAAGTTGCCCAGGAAAAACAGAAGGCAATGCTGTTAGCAGGGCTCCTCGAAAACATGCCCCTATAGCACTGGTTCTCAACCTTCATAATGCCGCGACCCTTAAATACAGTTCCTCATGTACAGTTATAGCACTGGTTCTCAACCTTCATAATGCCGCGACCCTTAAATACAGTTCCTCATGTACAGTTCCCCAGCCATAACATTATTTTCGTTGCTACTTCATAACTTCAGTGAATTGGTTTTTTTCAGATTTTCTTAGGGGACCCCTGTGAGAGTTTTGTTCCACCCACAAGAGGGTCGCGACCCCCAGGTTGAGAACTGCTGCCATGTAGCAAGCCGGGAGAGGGACATTTAGGGGATCATGGTACAAACTGAAAGCACTGTGTTTTCTGCTTCTGGGCAAGAGCTTTAAGGAAACCTTTACTTGTGGTTAAAGCCGACTGATGAAACGTTTTCCTAAATCAGATGTGTTTGGTTGAATCATCATCATCAGTTCTCGTTATGCCTAGTGGCACATGAGGCTTCAGAGAGGACTTTCCATTCTTTCCTGTCCTGTGCAATCTTCAGTGCAGTTTTGCATGTCAAAGATGCCGCACTCAGGTCACTTTCCATCGTTTGTCTCCATGTTGTTTTTGGGCGCCCTTGTTTTCTCTTTCCCTCTGGTGTCCATGTGAGAGCTGTTTTGGCAGGTATATCAGAAGTCATTCTCATAACATGGCCAAGCCATTTCCATCTTCTCTTGGTAATCATACTGTCTAAAGTTTCTTGGTTTGTGGCTTGAAGTAGTTTAGTATTTGAGATTGTATCTGGCCAGAAAATTTTGATAATTCTACGTACTGTTTGGCTGAAAGGTGAGGATATCACAGTCTTGCTGTACACCACATTTCAGCGGTGCCAACCACCCTTTCAAGGTCCAACGCAGAAGTATAGATCCGATGGTACCTGATGAATGATGTCTGTTACTTGGTAGGCTAGAAAGAACCATACTGCAGCATCCACCTGCTGTCCACACTGCTCAAGAACTTTCTAGGCTCATATTGGACTAATCAGCCACCTTCGTACTCATTATCATTGATCATGACTACTTTGCATGAAAAGTAGTCTTCATCAAGTATTACTTGGTATAATTAATTAATGTTATAGTGAAGCTAATGTTATTTCTTCTGTGCCAATTCAGGAGCTCTCATTAGCCAGGGGGAAGAGGGGTGGGGGGATAATATGATAATAGACCTGCCCTCCTCTCAGTGTTAATCAACCAGCCATCCCCTTATGGGATGTAAATTTTCATTATTTTTAAGCCCCACCCTGGCTCCTGCCATGGGCCGCAATGTATCCCGGTCATAAATGTGGCCTAATGGCTGAACGAGGTTTCCGGGACCTCTCCACGGGTGATCCTCTTCCACATGGTGGCACTTTGTGTCATCCGGTGTTGATCGCTTGTGTGATGTCCTGGTGGGGTCGAATGTACTCCTACTAATACTCACAGTGTCAGGAAAGGTGACCAATTAAGAATTTGTAGAAATCGGATGGGTTGAGCTGAAAGAGGCAGATATCACGACCCAGCTGTGTGCCGCAATGTACAGAAGTACAGACCAATGGGTATTCAGTGAGTGTCAGTGATGTATGATTTTTGGTTGAGTTTCAAAAACCGACATCACAGCACTCAGGACATTCCCATAAACGCTCAGTTCCCATCTTTAGCAGCCAGCTGGAAGTTCCAGCTCTGATGGTATCAGTTGAAGCTGATATTATTTGCTGTTATATCTCTGTTCTGGCAGGTTGCGGGCCACAATTGAGAAAACGGAGAAGTCGAGACCTGATGTAAGTGGTTTCTATGACAACGATAATGACCTGGATTCGAAGTTTATGGCTGGAGCTAGGAAGCCTGCGAGTGGACAGTACACGATGATTGCCCCAGTCACAGGATCTGCTAGAGAAGAGGAAATTGATAGTAACTTGGGTAAGTCTTTGTGGTTCTTTTATACATTGATTTGAAGTTGTTATGTGGGGCTGATGGGTTGTTATGTGTGGCTGATGGGTTGTTATGTGTGGCTGATGTGTTGTTATGTGGGGCTGATGGGTTGTTATGTGTGGCTGATGGGTTGTTATGTGTGGCTGATGTGTTGTTATGTGTGGCTGATGTGTTGTTATGTGTGGCTGATGGGTTGTTATGTGTGGCTGATGGGTTGTTATGTGGGGCTGATGGGTTGTTATGTGTGGCTGATGGGTTGTTATGTGGGGCTGATGGGTTGTTATGTGGGGCTGATGGGTTGTTATGTGGGGCTGATGGGTTGTTATGTGGGGCTGATGGGTTGTTATGTGCGGCTGATGGGTTGTTATGTGGGGCTGATGGGTTGTTATGTGTGGCTGATGGGTTGTTATGTGGGGCTGATGGGTTGTTATGTGTGGCTGATGTGTTGTGAATCCAGTTTTATAGTTTGAGGAGTCTCCACAAGTGAAGGGGTCATTTTTTGTACCTGTACTTTGAAGATCGGTTATTTGTTTCATGGTTTTTGGGGCCATCAGTTCATGTGTTCAGTGGTGACTATTTCGACCAGATCAGGGGTGTCAATTCACAATGGGCACTGTAGGTTTAATGGTGACTATTTCAACCTTATCAAGGGTGTCAGGTCACTATGGGCACCTTAGGTTTAATGATGACTATTTCAACCAAATCATGGGTGCCAGTTCACAATGGGCACTGTAGGTTTAATGGTGACTATTTTAACCAAATCAGGGGTGTCAGTTCACAATGGGCGCCGTAGGTTTAATGGTGACTATTTCAACCAAATCATGGGTGCCAGTTCACAATGGGCACTGTAGGTTTAATGGTGACTATTTTAACCAAATCAGGGGTGTCAGTTCACAATGGGCGCCGTAGGTTTAATGGTGACTATTTCAACCAAATCAGGGGTGTAAGTTCATGATGGGCACCTTAGGTTTAATGGTGATTATTTTAACCAAATCAGGGGTGTCAATTCATGATGGGCACTGTAGGTTTAATGGTGACTATTTTAGCCAAATCAGGGGTGTCAGTTCACGATGGGCACTGTAGGTTTAATGGTGACTATTTTAACCAAATCAGGGGTGTCAGTTCACAGTGGGCACCGTAGGTTTAATGGTGACTATTTTAACCAAATCAGGGGTGTCAGTTCACAATGGACACCGTAGGTTTAATGGTGACTATTTCAACCAAATCAGGGGTGCCAATCAATTCACAATGGGCACCGTAAGTTTAATGGTGACTTTTTTCCACAACTTTTAAAAAGTGTAATTAAGAGGAGGACAGAAAGAAACTTATTACCAAGAATTGTATTATCCTATTAGATTTGTAACAGTATGCGTACAGGCTGATTATGAAAACAAAAACATCATTAGTCTTCTGTTTTATAAATAGTTAAAAAAAATATTGTATTTATAATTAAACTGAAGGGAAAAAATGTTAGTATAACAGATTATTACAAGTATAAATGTAAATTCAGAATTGCGTCTCTTGTGGACGCTACAAATGAATGGAGAGGGGCGGGTCTACCCTTGGGAGAGGGGGGGGGGTGGGGGTGTCTACCCTTTAGATTGTAAACCACAGGTCTGTAACTATATGTTTTCAGCATCATTGCCTGATCACTGCCGTAACAAAACATATTCTGTCACTTTTACTCACCCAGTCCTCTCTTTCTGCCAGGCATGATGTACGACGGGATGTCTAGGCTAAAGGGCCTGGCCTTGGGCCTGGGAGATGAGATAGAGAGACAGAATGAACAGCTGGACAGAATCAATGTCAAGGTGGAAAAGACCGATGTTCTGATCACCAACCAGAACACACAGATGAGGCGGATATTGAAGAAATAATCTCAGATTTATGACTTTTTTGTTTTTACTCACTACCAGTCAGCTATGTTCGGGGAATCTGTAAACAGAGCAACATATTAAAATTTATTAAGAAAATAACGTTTTTAATGTTGCTTCATATTTATAAGAATAATTGTCTGTATTATGCATCTCCTGGTTATGTTAATGTACGTCATTGATTTATGAATGCCATAAAATATGTGAATACATGTCATTGATTTCTGAATTATATCAAGTATGTGAACATACATCATTGATGGTTGAAGGCATAAAAGTATGTAAACATAAATGTGAATGCTACAGAAGTATGTTAACATAGGTTTGAATGCTATGAAGTGACTACGTTAATATATGTTTCATTTATTGTTGAATACCATAGAAGTATGCTAACATATGTTTAAATACTATGGTTTTATGGTAACATATGTTTGAATTTCAATGGATATACATTAACATACATTTGAATGCCGTAGAAGAAGGGCTATTTGCCTAGAAAACAGAGTACTGGTAATAAGTATCTGTAAAAAAGTGTCATTACTCATCAGAAAGTGTCTGTTACAGCAGTGCTGAAAGAATGATGCCTTTAAAAAGTGCTGGTACTGCATACCATTGCGTACCACCAGAAAGAAAAAAAAGCCTTGCATACAAATATGCTAACGCATCATTGATTGCCGAAAGCCATAGAAGTATGATAACTGACATCATTGATTGCTGATTGACATAATTATGTTAACATATGCTATTGATTGCTGTTTGATATAATTATGTTAACATATGTCATTGATTGCTGTTTAAAATAACATATGTCATTGATTGCTGTTTGAAATAATTATTTAACATATGTCATTGATTGCTGATTGACATAATTATGTTAACATATGCCATTGATTGCTGATTGACATAATTATGTTGACATATGCCATTTATTGCTGATTGACGTAATTATGTTAACATATGTCATTGATTACTGTTTGACATAATTATGTTAACATATGCCATTGATTGCTGATTGACATAATTATGTTAACATATGTCATTGATTCCTGATCGACAGAAATATTTTAACATATGCCATTGATTGCTGAATGCCAAAGAAGTAAAGAAGTATTTGATTAAGTCACTACAGTCAGTAGTAATCAGAAATGATACCAGGCATTTGTTTTGTTCTGTGATTCAGGTCTGTTGTAATGTCAAGTGATAGTAGATAGTTGTTGTGTTCCATGTTTGACCTTCTTGTACTGTGAAATGATATTAGATATTTGTTCCATGTTCAACATATGAATGTTAAATGGTGCCATTCCATTATTTTGGTTCTGTTTGAGGTCAGCTGTATTGTGAAATGATACCAGACTTGTTTTGTTCGTAATTCTGTGTACTATACTGTGAAATGATACTGCATATTTTTTCTGTTCATTTTTTGACGTATGTTGTACCGTTCAATAATTTGTTTTCTGCATTCGTCCTTAAAAGAACAATAGGCATGTTATTTTGTGGTTTTCAGCTAGGCTGCAATATCTGCACTTTTTGACCCATCGAGTTTCAGCTAAACCCTTAATTAACAAGATGCATACACATGTTGTAACTGTAAAGACTCTGAAAGCATGCTGAGAAAGGTGAAGACAGGGATGCTTCAAGCAGAGTGGCAAGCTTCTCTGGGTAATGAGCATACTTTGGATCTTTTTTTTCTAGGCCATGACGGCGTGGTGGCAGACAGATTGGCTGGATCTGCACCACTGGTTGGTGAATTGATACGTGACAAGGCAGATGTAGTAAAGACCCTTTGGGAACAAGCAACGGAATCAGTAGAGAAAAAAGACTGTTATGGCGTGGAGAGAATGAGACATCTGGGTGTAACCAGAGGGTCTGGCCGGCTCACTACACTCAGAGAAAAGGCAAGACAGACATATAACCAGATTATGACCGGCACCATCAGTATTGGAACTCTGCACTGGCTGCTGAAGATGATAATGGAGCATGCATGGGAATACCCCAAGTGCTGTGATGCCAGTTCTTGATTCAACTCAACCCCTAATTAATTGTTTTTTGAGAGATGCTTGCTAGAGAAAGAGGGTGGGGGTCTAACGGTTTTCCTCTCAAAATAGGGCCCAAGACCCCACACAGGAAGTGGTGTGAATAAATATAAGATATTTGTTCATGTCACATTTTATTCTGATACTAGCTATCCATTTTCACTATTGAGTGTATCATCATCATCATCATCTTGCTGTATGTTTAGTGATACTTGCTCCCGACTCCTCCACAAAGTCTTGCATTGCTAGGTTCGGCAAGTGATTTGTCACTTCCCTGCCTCTTTGCCAACCCACCCAGAATTTTCTACCTGTTTCTCCAATACCCTTTATCTTTTCAGCTGTCACATCCTTGACCACTGATTGTCTTTTCCCTGCTCTTTTGCCCTTTCACCCAAAGAAGCCGAAAACCAACACTTCCAGCTGGGTACATTTCCCATTAAAATGTCACTTTCTCTGAACTGTCTATAGTGACCTGTTTACAAGATGCATAGTTAATGCTAATGGCTGAGTTTGCTCCCATGTGAACTTCGGGGGGGAGGGTAGCGGGTCGTCAGCATATGGATGCACTAACTAACAGTTGTTCGTCCATCACGAGTGATGAAGACAACTTTCATCCAAAGTAGTCATGATCAACGATTATGAGTACAAAGCTGGCTGATTAGTCCAATATGAGCCAGGAAAGTTCTTGAGCAGTGCAGACAACAGATGAAAGCCGCAGTAAGTATGAGATTAGCGGTACAGCTGGATGAAAGTGACTTGCGCAAGGACTTGGATTTAAGTGAGGGAGAGTTGTGCAACTAATATTTAGCAGGTGGATGTATTCAATTTACTGCTTCACCCTGTTGATGTTTATTGATCACTGCTTTCATATTTCTTGATATGTTATGGAAAATTATTCTAAATTGTAGATAAATACATTTTTAACAGGTTTATAAGTAAGTTTTTAACAGGTTTATAAATACATTTTTAACAAATTTATTAGTGACCTGAGTAATAATTGAATTGTTGTGTTAATGATAATTTTCTGGAATCTAAAAGTGTCATGACATTAACAACAACAACAAAATGCCCCCCCCCCCCCCCCCCACTGTTCCTAGGGCAAAAGGGTTTCACTCTTTCAAAAAGCAGAAGAATTTGCAGGATGTTTCCAAGGGTAACAGTGGTCACAATGAATTTAAACAGTGATAATGTGACTGTCACAAACGTAGCAACACAAATATCTAGTAGAGGCATTACAATATCTAGCCAGGTTTCTATAGTCTTCTTATTCTTACTTATTGACTGGCTGTAGAAAGTCCTAGCTGTTTGTCCATTTGGACTTTGGATTTGTGCCAGGGCCTGAGTTTTGCGTGTACAACTGTTTTACTGGCTTATTTGTGTGTGTAATTGGTTGTTCCTTGCCGTTCTGGCAGATTGACTTTGAAGGAAGTCCCCATTTAGTGGACTCCTACGACATACTTGTTGGGGAGGCAGTGGGTCAGTTCTTCTTCTCCCCACAATGGAACCTTAGAACCCGCTCGGGGAGGAAGTGGGTCTATTCTTGGGTGACATTAGGGCCCCGGCTGCAGTAAACCCAGGCTGAACATCAGATCACATTGTTGGTTGCTTGTTACACATGGGCAGTGATCACACATGGTGCTGGTTGGGGCGGAAAGAGTTAATAATTCCCCCTTCCCACAGAGCGCCAGTTGGTCAATACAAATTGGAGTCTATAATCAAATGCCCCATAAACGACTGGGGTGAAAATGTCCCGTCTTATCTGGGTAACTTATCGACCCGATACAGACTTATTGCATTTTGGGGGCAAATTTCCTTTGTAATTACCATTAGTTATGTGCAAGTTTGTGTTTGCTGTCCAAACCTTTGTTTTGGCTTTCAGAATTGATTTGTGAATTGCATGTTACAGTTATCTCCATCAGTTCTTGTCGCTGCTTTAATTTTCGTCATGGATCTTGTATTTTATTTCACCTACGTTGCACCTACTTTATTACCCACGGAAGAAAATCATGGATAGTTGGTGAAAAGTGAACAATATTGCATGCAGTGGAGATTTGACTTGATAGATGAATGATAAGAACAGAAGCCTGTCTTGGCAGTGGTGAAACGTCGCAAGCTAGCTTGGTTTGGGCACGTGGTGAGACAAGACTGTACTTCAAGGAACATTGGGGGATAGTCGAAGAAGAGGAAGGAAAAGAAGAAACTGGAATGACAACATCAAGAAATGGACAGGGCTAAGTTATCATACAAATTCATCAGGTGAAAAGACTCATGCTTTCATCAATACACCTCCATGGCCCTAATGGGTCAAGGGTTATGTTATGCTATGATAAGAACACCCTGGATACATAAAAAGTGAAATGAAACAAAATTAAAAACTCTTGAAACAAACTGACTCATGAAGTAAACAGATCACCCACATCAGAAGGAGACAATTGACATTCTGTAGTCATGTCATGAGGAGAAAGCTTGAGTACATCACGACGGTGGGAGAGTTGGAGGGGAGGAGAGGCAGAGGGAGACTGAGAGAGACGATCCTGGACTGTCTGACATGAAAGATTATCTGTGTGAGAATTAGTTTGACGTACACGAGACAGAAGGTTGTGGATAGAGATGACAACCAACGCCACACGGCACAGAGGATCATCTGTGTCAGAACTGATTAAAAGAACACGAGACAGAAGGTTGTAGATAGAGATGACTACCAACAGCACATGGCATGGAGGATCGTCAGAGTTGATTGAAAGTACACGAGATAGGAGGTTGTGGATAAACATGACTGCTATACCCCAATGGCATGGGCTGTTAGAAGAAGAATTTGAAATGATACGAGTTGCATTCATGTTGTTGTATGTCATTTTCAGCAATCAAAACTATTCTAATAAATCATTATTCTGTTGCATCTACTTTGAAATGATACTGGATACATGTTCTGTGCAGTGGTTGACTGAAATAATGCTAGAGCAAATATCA